GAGACCCAAGACTCATCACACAGAGACCCACAGACTCACCACACAGAGACCCCAGACTCACACAGAGACCCACAGACTCACCACAGAGACCCACAGACTCACACACAGAGACCCACAGACTCACACACAGACCCAACCACAGACTCACCACACAGAGACCCACAGACTCACACACAGAGACCCACAGACTCCACACAGAGACCCACAGACTCACACACAGAGACCCAGACTCATCACACAGAGACCCACAGACTCACCACACAAGACCCACAGACTCACACACAGAGACCCACAGACTCACCACACAGAGACCCACAGACTCACACACAGAGACCCACAGACTCACACACAGACCCACAGACTCCACACAAGACCCACAGACTCACACAGAGACCCACAGACTCACCACACAGAGACCCACAGACTCACCACACAGAGACCCACAGACTCACACACAGAGACCCACAGACTCACACACAGAGACCCACAGACTCACCACACAGAGACCCAGACTCATCACACAGAGACCCACACTCACCACACAGAGACCCACAGACTCACCACACAGAGACCCACAGACTCACCACAGAGACCCACAGACTCACACCAGAGACCCACAGACTCACCACACGAGACCCACAGACTCACACAGAGACCCACGACTCACCACAGAGACCCATAGACTCACACACAGAGACCCACAGACTCACCACACAGAGACCCACAGACTCACCACACAGAGACCCACAGACTCACCACACAGAGACCCATAGACTCACACACAGAGACCCACAGACTCACCACACAGAGACCCACAGACTCACCACACAGAGACCCACAGACTCATCACACAGAGACCCACAGACCACACACAGAGACCCACAGACTCACCACACAGAGACCCACAGACTCACCACACAGAGACCCACAGACTCACACACAGAGACCCACAGACTCACACACACAGAGACCCACAGACCACCAACAGAGACCTACAGACTCACCACACAGAGACCCACAGACTCACCACACAGAGACCCACAGACTCACACACAGAGACCCACAGACTCACACACAGAGACCCACAGACTCACACACAGAGACCCACAGACTCACCACACAGAGACCCACAGACTCCACACAGAGACCCACAGACTCACACACAGAGACCCACAGACTCACCACACAGAGACCCACAGACTCACCACACAGAGACCCACAGACTCACCACACAGACCCAGACTCACCACACAGAGACCCACAGACTCACCACACAGAGACCCACAGACTCACACACAGAGACCCACAGACTCATCACACAGAGACCCAGACTCACCACACAGAGACCCCAGACTCACACCAGAGACCCACGACTCACCACACAGAGACCCACAGACTCACCACACGAGACCCACAGACTCACCACACAGAGACCCACAGACTCACCACACAGAGACCCACAGACTCACACACGAGACCCACAGACTCACCAACAGAGACCCACAGACTCACCAGAGACCCACAGACTCACCACACAGAGACCCACAGACTCACACACAGAGACCCACAGACTCACCACACAGAGACCCACAGACTCACCACACAGAGACCCACAGACTCACCACACAGAGACCCACAGACTCACACACAGAGACCCACAGACTCACCACACAGAGACCCACAGACTCACCACACAGAGACCCACAGACTCACCACACAGAGACCCACAGACTCACACACAGAGACCCACAGACTCACCACACAGAGACCCACAGACTCACCACAGAGACCCGACTCACCACAGAGACCCACAGACTCACCACACAGAGACCCACAGACTCACACACAGAGACCCACAGACTCACCACACAGAGACCCACAACTCACACACAGAGACCCACAGACTCACCACACAGAGACCCACAGACTCACACCAGAGACCCACAGACTCACACACAGAGACCCCAGACTCACACACAGAGACCCACAGACTCATCACACAGAGACCCACAGACTCACCACACAGAGACCCACAGACTCATCACACAGAGACCCACAGACTCACCACACGAGACCCACAGACTCACCACACAGAGACCCACAGACTCCACACAGAGACCCACAGACTCACCACACAGAGACCCACAGACTCACCACACAGAGACCCATACCACACCAGAGACCCACAGACTCACACAGAGACCCACAGACTCACCACACAGAGACCCACAGACTCACACACAGAGACCCACAGACTCACCACACAGAGACCCATAGACTCACCACACAGAGACCCACAGACTCACCACACAGAGACCCACAGACTCACACACAGACCCACAGACTCACCACACAGAGACCCACAGACTCACATACGAGACCCACAGACTCACCACACAGAGACCCACAGACTCACACACAGAGACCCACAGACTCACACACAGAGACCCACAGACCACACACGAGACCCACAGACTCACACACAGAGACCCACAGACTCACACACAGAGACCCACAGACTCACCACACAGAGACCCACATACTCACACAGAGACCCACAGACTCCACACAGAGACCCACACTCACACACAGAGACCCACAGACTCACACACAGAGACCCACAGACTCACCACACAGAGACCCACAGACTCACACACAGAGACCCACAGACTCACCACACAGAGACCCACGACTCACCACACAGAGACCCACAGACTCACCACACAGAGACCCACAGACTCACCACAGAGACCCACAGACTCACACACAGAGACCCACAGACTCACCAACAGAGACCCACAGACTCACACAGAGACCACAGACTCACCACACAGAGACCCACAGACTCACACACAGAGACCCACAGACTCACCACACAGAGACCCACAGACTCACCACACAGAGACCCACATATACTCACACAGAGACCCACAGACTCACCACACAGAGACCCACAGACTCACCACACAGAGACCCATAGACTCACACACAGAGACCCACAGACTCACACACAGAGACCCACAGACTCACCACACAGAGACCCACAACTCACACACAGAGACCCACAGACTCACCACACAGAGACCCACAGACTCACCACACAGAGACCCACAGACTCACCACAGAGACTCACAGACTCACCACACAGAGACCCATACTCACCACAGAGACCCACAGACTCACCACACAGAGACCCACACAGAGACCCACAGACTCACCACACAGAGACCCACAGACTCACCACACAGAGACCCAGACTCACCAC